CCAGTGTCATGAAAGTAAAAGCTCGACCGGTTCTGATAGTGAGAATTCACAAACCGAGCCCGACTGGGACCAAGCGCGAACACAAAAGCATGTAGTCCACAAACCTGAGTAAGTTTAAACTTAATTGAGTTACAAAGCCACAGTTTAGCCTGTTAAGAGATTATATGATTTCAAGTGCTTAAAATAAGAGGTAAAGGTGTGGTTTGGTCATCTCGTATTGTCCCCCAGATGTGCATACGATTCCTTAAGCACTTCTATAAAAAGCACAAAAGGAGTAATCGGTTCTTCTGGTCTTAATAAATCATTAGATCGAAATTTCCATTGCTTTAACATATGTCTGCTAGCCTAGCAAAACTTACCAAAAAGACAGGCTCATGTTATCGAATAATTAACAATGGCTATTTACCATCTCGCATCCAACACGCGCTCGTGGAATGAACGTTAAATTTAGGTCACGCCATATGCGACTCACTTAGCTCCCTGTCTATTACGGCAGAGACAGCGGGTAGTAAGGCCAATCAATATTGAAGTTTTTCCGGTAGAACGCTTTGCTTCTTTGCTGGGGTTAGCTGTCTCACGAGTCAATAGAATTTTATTAACTGAACGTGCGCGTCTGGCTTCTCATATTGTAGTGCTAGTTCACATGCACTAAGGTAATAATTTTATTTTCTGTTTCTGTTTTAGAGAAAACAAGTCTGTCGAAGAACATTTCGAGGTAATAACTGAACGTCTCAGAAATTCAAGTTATCTAACCATCCTATTGCTTATTAGAGAAAGAGAAGTATTGGAAACACTGACTTGATATTAATTTTGCTATTTTACTAGGACCTCTGGATCAGGGGGCATAAAGTTCGCTGCACTCAGTCGACGCTAACCAGAAGACAGTCCCACAAGAAAACACGACCCAACACAGCCCTCGAAGGGCAACATGCACCGAGAGAGACACCGTCTTTCTGTAAGCAAAGAAATAAGAGTACACGTGCTTTGCAAAGAACCCGCAAAACGAGATGTAAATCATGTGTTCCGCGGATTACAATTAACAGTGAGGTGAAAGGAACACAGATGGTTGTGTCCCCCCGGATAAAACTGGAGACCAAGCTATTGGTTCCCCAATCCCCGCAACAAGAAACAAACATTCAAATTCCGACTTCGGAAAAGTTTGCAAATAGTGGAAGTCTTTCGGAAGAGAGAGTAAAACCTAGTGTAAGTACCTTAGAGAGAAACTGCGCACAATCAAAGATGGATGCCGGAGACATTCAAAACGAAAATGCCGACGTGAATCTCGAGCACAAAGCTGACATGAAAACGACAATACGAATAGAATGCGGTCTCAAGGTTACCTCTGGACAGAGCACAAAGTCGACTGCAGCCAAGGGTGAAACCGCTTCGCAAATGTTGCAATTGAACCAAAAGTTTTCATCCGCAAGGAATTCAATCCGGTCCCCCAAAAGTGGGAGTAAGATTTCCCCTTCATCACTAGCACAATGTTCTAACAGAACAGTGTCATCTCTAAGAACAAGTCAGTTTGTAGATCTTGCTGATTATTACAAGCACGTTCCTCAGCCTCCAAAATCACGTGGTGCTCCACAACAAGGCGCATCGCGGATTCCACCCAATGAGGAAGAAAGGGAAGGAAGATGTGATAGGTAAACGCTTTCAAAACTGGACCGATAATTTGCGCAAAAGAAAACAAGCTTCTGCTTTAGGTACCACAGCGTATCAGATTATATAATCTTGCACTCACTGTTTAGCACGACAAGCTAAAAGAAATTTTAGACTAATTTGCGACGACTTTTTAAGATTTTAAGATTTGCAGCGATTTCTAATCATAACCTTTTTTTTTTAAAATAACTATAGACATCCCCCTTTAATTCCCGGATCAAATTTGTAATTCTCCTTACCGCCAACCGTACAATTCTTATGTTAGTTCAGAGAATTTAGTGTTGCATCAACTAATTATTCCCAAATTGATATTTTTCTTTACTATCATCACTTATCTGGTTGATATTGTATTGACATTGTAAGGAGAAATTCTGTCTTGGTCACTCATGGGATTTAAAGGGTTAAGTTAAAACTGATTTTTTAGAGCATTACCGAGCCAGATTAGAAAATGACAAGTATTGCTTCGATGGTTAAATTTCCTTAACAGGCTTTCTTGTAGTATGTTCATAAGCGTTGCCATGATTTAAGCCTTCACACCCTAGCATCAGTATGCATATTCTCGATATTGTTTTCTGCACCCGTCTTGAGGTGCTAACAAGGAGAATTTATTTAACAATCAAGAGTTTCTTTAGTTGGTGATCACTTCATTTCACTTCAGTTATTTTATTCTGACCTTTGACGTTAGATTCAGGGGTGATATTGTGAGGAAACATTTCCTAGTCACACCTAAGGGTCAAAAGGTTTAAACACCGTTCTTTCTATTCATTTCCAGTATTTCTGCTTTGTGCCAGTCCTACATGAAGAACAAGAAAACACCGCAACATCCCCGCCTGTCCATAATGCAGGCGCGGGAAATTCTTCAACTTGAGTCCAAGTTTCACACCAAATATGGCAGGAGACTTGGCACAGAGGACAGCAATAGCAACCCAGACTCAAGTAAACAGCCTGAGAATCAAATGCCACACCACAGAGATGAAAGCATCGTAACTCATGACCAAAAAAACGAGACTCAAACGAAAACGAACTTCCAGCTCGGCATGCAAAACTACTTCAAAGGAATTTCCTCACTCCGGGAACAAGGGGAAATAACTGCATGCGTTAATAATCGTGAGGAAAATCTTCGTGAAAAGAAAAATGTGTCGAGCTACGAACGGCAAGCTGGACCAGACCTCTCAAGGGAACCATATTTTCATGACAACAGACCTGACAACATCAATATGGATGAGGTGAGAGTCGGTACAGATGACCACAGTGCTACCAATCAGGACAGTCGAGAAGTAGAGAGTAAATTACGACCGCAACAAGAGGAATCCATTAAAAGACAAAAAGAGAAGGAACTGCTCGAATACCAGGAGAGAGAGCGAACCAGGTTTCTGCAAGAAATCAAGGATCAAGAACGGAGACAGATTATAACAGAATATTTACAAAACGTTTACACGCGCAGTACTGCGCAACCTCACAGTGTTAGAGGTCAGTCTGGTACTCGAACTAACAACGTAACCAGGCAAGGCCGCGCCCATTCTGTACTCACTCGATCATCAGACCGACAAAGCTCCGACGTACCCCAGGTGATCACAAAACCAGTTCCTATCTTACAGCAGGCAACCAGGGATTCTCAAGCAGACAAGAGAACTGTCAGTTTTAGAGGTCCAAATGAGTCTAAAGCAACCAACGCTGTGAGGTTCTTTAACGAGTGGAGCAACAGTGTGTTTACAGAGTACATCAACAGCTCTGACAGTAGTGCCGATAAGGGGACAGAACAACACAAATTTAAGGTAAGTGGTAGAACCAATGTACAACCAAGGACTTTGCTAGGGGGCCAGTCATTTATCTCCTGAGTTGGGGAAGGGGGGG